ACCTTCTGTTAGTCCATTCCCCTGCCAATGCAAGTTGTTGCCTATTGTATAGTTATTAGTATTTTGTTTAATCCACTTAATGTACCACGTGATAATGCTTTAATGACTTTCCTGGGCAGATCATTTCACATCTTAATAGATCTTACTGATTTTTTTTCTAATATTCTGCATATATTTGCTCTCTTAATTTTATTCCATTTGGTTTGCTCTACAGTTGAAAATTAGATTGGTTTATCTACGCCAGTCAGGGCGTTAAAAATCTACATCCCCTGAGGGGCATAGTTAAGATGACCTAAATCAGGCTTGACAAAGCCCTGGCTGGGATGATTTAACTGGGAATTGGTCCTGCTTCGAGCAGGGGGTTGGACTAGATGACCTTCTGGGGTCCCTTCCAACCCTGATATTCTATGATTCTATGAAATCCCTATGTAGACAGAGCTAGGTTGATGGAAGAATTCTTCTGTTGACCTAGCTATCGCCTCCTGGGGAGGTGGATAACCCAAAGAACTACAGGTATGTAGCTGTAGTGTCTTAATTGGAGACAAGTCCTTACTCGAGCATTATACTAACCTAATTTTCTCTAGTTCTGCTCCTGTTTTCACCTTCAGAAAACCAAATAGCGCTCAAGCTATACAAATGTGATTCTTTGTGTAGACACATACACAAAGAAAACCCTCCTCTTTGCTGAATTGATTCTGTTTAATAAAACCCTTTGTGACAGATATGGCAATTTCCTGAAATATCCTTGAGAAAACTTATTAGGTTTAAATATATTTTGGAATTCATTGTATTAAATGCAAATATTATGTATTATTGTGGGCTGGGACTGTGTGTAACCTGTCCAAGAGGGAAATGTAATGTAAGGCCTACATGATCAAAACAGTATTGAACAATGTGCCAGACAAGAATGTACTTTTGGGATGATATGTATGAAGTAGATTTCCTGGGAAATATGTAGGAGGAGATGAATGCAAATTCCCCACCTCCAGTTACAAAAAAAATCCTTTTGAAGCTATGCACTGAGGAGCGGGCCTTTGCTGATCATTTGTTATATGAGGCCAAGATAAAAGGCCCAATCTGCATAAAGGAAAGACTGAGTTATTCATGGTTGTGCTAGTTCTGAGCTAAGGTTGTTACAAACTTGCAACCACAGGGGGGAAAAAGCCTTTGTGGGGTTTGAAAGACTGACCCCTGCTAAGGCCTTGTGGGTATTGTAAGGGGGTAAGCTTTTTGCTTGTGTGTAGTTTTTTTTTTTATTTGTTTGTAAGATTTTCTCTGTAGTGTTTTTACCTTAAGAATAAATGTGCCTTCTTATAAAGAGCTGTATGGTATCTTGTAACTGCTGGCAATTACAGCTGTTCATAGGCTCTGAAGAGAAAACCAAGCATAGATGCTGGCTTATTTAGTCAATCTGGTTTTCTGGAAATATCAAACCCATAATTTAATATATGATAAGTATGTGTCATGCAGGAAAGGAAACAGCTCGTACGACCTGCTGCCAACAATAACTATTGTCAAAATACGAATATCCTAGGTAAAGAATGTTTAGATGGCAGTATGTCATCTAACCTGGTCTCTGCCTCTCTTACTGGTAGATAATACTGCTGTCATTGCTGGGACTGCAGTGCAACCACCTCTGCCTAAACTCTTAAATGGTGGTAATAACAGTAACACTATTTCTGCTCTTAGATACTCTATGCTCCTTTCTGGCTCAGCCTGATGAAAAAGTAATGCCAAACTAGCAGCATTAGGGTCTATTTCTAGTCTGATCATGCAGTCCTTTCATGCCAAGATCAAATACAGTTCCTCCTATACCTCTTCATAGCAGCTCACACAGCTAGCTGGAAGATGATGGCACTATATCTATAGCCTTTTTGGTAGTAAGACTCCAATTAAAAAAAAAATTTTTTTTTTTTTTTTTTTTTTTTTGCACCTGAGATGCAATCCCCTAGAGAACTACCATTTCTGGAACAGTGTTGCCTAGTATTTATCAGAGTCCAGATTGGGAACTCCTATCACTTCAGAAGGCTGTTAGATGTAATTTATTGCATCACTTCTATCCAAGTAGGTAGAGAGACATGATGGATTATGGAGATAGTATCATATCATTCTTATTACAATACATAATATCTGGTTGTGAACATAGCTAGACCATGTAACAAATTGTGTGAACCTATCACTGTTAGTCTCATCCTTCCTTCTCCAGACCTTTCAGTTATTTTTTATGCCCATTTCTGTGTTGTCTTTAATTAGGCTCCGATCCTGCAAGGACTTGCATGCATGTGTAACTTCATATACTGAGTAGTCCCATTGATTTCAAAAGAGAGACAGGTATATCTTTTCAGCCACCTGCTCACCACTTGAATTAAGAGCTAGCTTCAATATTAAAGTGCAAATATTTGAATTTTACCCACTTTTGCTCTTTATAGAATGCTCTTTTCAGTGTCTTTATAAAAGCTGTTGTTGAGAAGTCCTACAGAATACTTTGCTAAGTTACCTTCAGTAAGTTCTAAAAATTGTATTCCAAAACCACTTTGTTGCAGAACATGCAAGTAGACACATAAAAAACAAAAACAAACTCAGAAACTAAGCTCTCTTCTGAAAAGACAGATGTCCATTAAATAAATTGGAAAATGGTTTAATTTGAAGATGCAAAGTATGCAAAGATGGGGAAAAATTAAGAAACTTTTATAAACTAGTAGGGGCATAACTATAATTTGTAATTATGATTTTACATGAATATCTAAAAATATGAAAGGATAGAATAAAGAGAATGATAGCATCAAGATGAAATGCTGTTATCATCCTGTTCTGATCATAAAAATGGTAAGGTTTTAATATAACAGGTTTAACACAACAGTGCCCTACAGTTATTACTACTTAAGCATTTGAAACATTCATTTGATGCTGCTTGACTGCCCTCTTCAGGATGCCGATGAACATGTTAGCCTATTTCAGTATGAAATACCAAACAAGTGCATAAGTTCAACATTTTCTGTACTTTCAAATCTAGTTTACCAAATGAGATATTTTTTTAAAAAATAGTTGACAAGGGTAAAAGTTAGGTTTTCATTGTACTGCATCTGAGATTGACTTAAAGTGATGATCAAGTTTCACTTTTTATTTTTATAGTGGTGCATTTGACCATGCACGTTGTTTCTCTTGGTACACACAGCTCCAGAAGTGCTGTGTGCTGAGTAGACAAGTGTTGCAAGGGTAGCCAAATAGTTGCTTTTAATACCTGTATACCACGCCATAATGTGCATGCAACATGCTTTACAAAAACAACCTTCAGACAGAAGTTTTAAAAACAAATATGTTCATACTATTTCTGTATCCCTCCATCTGAAAAGAGAGGTAGATAAAGGACGGGGCTCTGTAATATAAATAAACAGCCACAGAAGGAGCTCTGTGGGGTGGAAATTGCCACAAAGATCCCCTCGGTAACTTTGAGATGCCCCCTAATAAACTGTACAGTTGTTTTGCCCCCAAGTCTGTGTGGCTTCAGGGCTATGCAGATAACTTCTTCACTGGTAATGCTGCTCTCTCATCCCCTCAACTCCTCTCCCCCCAAATCTTGCTTTTAAAGTGATTTTCTGAGTACCAAGAGGGCGAGTGCAAAAGTTAATGTAGTGTCATGCTGCATTATTTTTCCCTCTGGCTCTTCCTTGAGGTTTGGGGGTAGGGAGCCTGCTGGAGGGAAAATGTGACTTTCTAATGCTGATAGAAATTACTACAGACTGCAAAAACTGTACTTTGTGTGTTGGTTTTAAAATATTTTTTGTAGGAAAAAATGTTGAACAAGGATGTTATTGGCAACCCTACCCCCTTTAGATCTGACACAACCACTCCTTTTGTGGCACAACAATTTTCAGTGTAGTATTGGCAGAGCTCTTTCCATGTATCCTTTGTTCTGGGAGGAATGTTGCATTGGTATATAGCAGGGGTGGCCAGACTTAGTGACCCTCCAAGCTGCATATGACAATCTTCACAAATTCAAAAGCCGGGGCACACCTGCCGGGACTCAGGGCTTCATCTCCGCTGGAGGTGCCCCATGGGGCTCGGGGATTCAGCCTTACTTGTGCTGAAGCCCTGAGGCGCAGGTGTGCCCTACAGAGCTGAAGTCCCAAGACCTCCTTCCCCACTGCGCAGAAGCCCCTACCCCACCACCCCTCTGCAAGGCAGAAGTCCTGAGCTTCCCCACCCCAGTCTGGTAGGTGGAGCATGGGGGAGGGAGCTACGCGAGCCACACTGCAACAGTAAAAGAGCTGCATGTGGCTCACGCCCCACAGTTTGGGCACCCTTGGTATATTGCTCCGTGTTCTACTAGTCTGAACTGATACTTATTTGGAGCAGTTTTGAGCATATAAATCCTGATACTAGATCTGCATTGCCACAAGGATGTCTCTACAAGAATCAGTTTGCAGGTTTGGGCCCATATTTTCCAGCATAAACTATAGGAGCATTTAACTGACACTGTTTGTAAAGCTTTTTATGTTAAAAATGTTAAAACACATTTTCATTCGTATTTTGAATGTGGGTTTTGTTGCTTAGATAGCTATTATAAATTAACTGCATGCAATGTAGTTGTAACTGTCGGTCTCGGGATATTAGCGAGACAATGTGGGTGATGTAACATCTTTTATTGAGCCATTTTGCTGTGACGCTCAGAGTACCTTTCCCAGAACTGAAGAACAGCTCGGTGTGGCTTGAAAGCTTTTCTCTCACTAGAAGAAGCTGATCCAATAAAATATTACCTCACCCATTATAAATTAATTGTAATTCTGGAAAAACAAAAACAACAACAAGAACCCCCTATCACCTTGCCATACTGGCCAAAACCTTTTTTGGTAGAGAATTGAGAATGTGTTTGCTGGAGTTTTAGTTAATCCCTCTGTTTGGTTTGCAGTTGTTACAATTCGTTATGGAATCTTTACTGGGAGTCAATTACATACAGATACCTATAATTTTTATCTGTATCTATGCCTTTTCCCTTACAGGCAAGCTAATGAAGAATATCAAGTGCTGGCCAACTCATGGCGCTACTCATCTGCTTTTTCTAATAAACTATTCTTCACTATAGTGGATTATGATGAAGGAGCAGATGTTTTTCAACAGGTAAAAGGTGTTGAATGATGTCTTTAAGATTGTTTAATATATATATCACATATTTTAAGTACTGTGATTTTTTTTTGTTTGATAATAAAGAATTACAGGGGTTGGTGGGGAGAGAGTCTGGAATACTGTTGTTAGTCACAGGAATTTCTATAATGCACCCAAGGTAGCTATAGCAAGAAACACCAAAAATGCAAAATGGCCAGTTTTGCTATGTCATATGTAGTCAACCGAAAACAAATATGGTAATATCAAGTTTATCAAGCCATTGTTAATGTATTGGTTGCTTCCATTGGGCATTGTAAAACAAATGGACTCCAAAATGATGTGAGGTACAGTGAAAAATCACATTTGTAGTTAAGAGAACCTATGGGGAAGTCTGACATAAAAAAGCACTTAACAAATATCACCTTTCATGAAGACTTTAAATATTTAATACCCTTTTTATCTTTGTAGAATATCAGTCTTGGAACTCTTGGGAATTGTTGTAAATAGCTATGGTTACTTTACAGTGTGGAGAACCAATTATTAGCAAATATGCTAGTCCCGCAATTTCTCTTTGGTTTGGGTACTCAGCTCAAGTTCAACTTGAATCATAATTTGAGAAAGAAAAATATTTTCTTCTCTTTGAAGCTTAGCCCCCTGCTTGGCACTAGAAGATGAATTAATAAAAGCAAGAAGCAGCAGAAGTTAACCATTTTTACTCCCTTTTGGTTAATTGTGAGATATTAAACTATGAAGCAAAAAAAGCAGATCTACAGTGTTTAAAACAATACACAGTAAACTTAGATGGTTTTCCAACAGAACTGTTGGACCACATTGTATATAAATAACATGCTCTAAATTTTGCACTTTATGTTTGCACACACATGGAGCAACTTATATTCAGTAGATGCATTTGGCCCAGTTCATTCTGGTGTAAAGAGATAAAACTCCATTTACATCAGTGGACTTACACTTGCTTATATCCACATTGTGTTTTGTTCATGGTCTTTGAAAACTCCAGGTATTTTGGATATCTGTGAAAACAAGAGTAACAAGTGAGCATATTGTCATGTAGGTATTTGTTTTATCAGAGTTTATATAGGCAAATTAAGAAGACAGTGGACATCTGAACTAATTATAATAGCACAGGAGATTTAATTCTTGACTGTAATACTCATAGCTAAGCTGTTGCTGTGTGCTGGTTCAGAGAGGACATAAAAGCATGTCAGTTGATTTGATTTCACCTTTCATTCTGATTATATAGAAACGGTCTGGTGCAACCAGGCTGTCAGCAATCTAAAAAATATATACTGTGGCAAAATACCTTATTTGCCTCAGTAGGCTCAGTTCTTTTTAGCCTTGGAGACTCAGGTTTAGGGCAAGGCAAATCCTTATAGGTGGCACAGGGTCCCTTGTGGTCAGTCCCTTGTGCTTGTTTTCCTTCTCTTCTGGGGAGCAAGTGCAGCCTCCCTACTGGGAGGGTCTGGTGTCTTGCTGTAAACACCCTACTGGTAACTCCTCTACTCCTCCCCTCCTACCACCCAGGGGAGGAGTTTAAGTATGTGCCCAAGTAGTGGGAGTCAGCTGACCCTAATTGGTTCCCTAGCAACCCCTTTTACAGCTGAACCTTATTGCCCCCTGATTCTCTCTCTTCAGTGGATAGGGAGGGGCCTCTTAATCCCCTGGGATTAATTACTACCTCCCCCCCATTTTGTAGCTGTTTGTCATGGGTTTACCACAATACCAGACAGAAGATTTCTGTATCTGAGTATCCCACTAAATTCAATAGTTTTACAACATTCTTCTTAACACGGTTCACACAAATATTTTTCTTTCAACAGTTGTTCATTAAAGGATGGGGCGTATTGTATTTAGAAGAAAATAATATTTTAGTATCTAGTTTATTTTTCATAAATTATACATTGAACTTGTACTTGATGTTTAACTAAAGCATTTATGTAATTTAATAACATTGATTTTGTTGGAGAGCAGCAAGCACGGCAGGTAAATAAAATGTCACTGCCCTTGTGTCATTAGAGAACTCAAATAATTTCATTCATATTTAATCATTTCCATTTTTTCAATGATTTTATATTTAATTTCAAATCACTTGATAAATGTATTGCATTATTTTCTGAAATCCAAATATTGTGAGATGTTTCATATAGTAAAATATATTTCCCTGTCCATGCACCACATGTTCAAATAAGCAATGCAAATTGCATTTGTTCATCTTGCTGGGGAATAATTTTTTCACTTAGAATGCCCAGCGGGGGGCCTGTCACTATTTTCTGTTTGTTTTCAAATTGACAATATTGGGAACATTTACAGGATGAATTAATATTTAAAACCCCAGTGCTCTAAAGATTTGCATGTATGCTTAACTTCACATACTGTGAGTAGTCACATTAACATCCACATAGCATTTAAGTATGTGCTTAAGTATGTGCTTAAGTTTTTTTCAAGGTTGAGATGTAGTTTGTCTTGTGACTTTGTGTAATACAAACAATATTTTTAAAGATGCTGCTTTGCTAGTTATATAACAGCATAAATGAGCATATTAGGAAAAATACCCAACAAAGGAATGCTTAAAATTGAAATATGGTTTATGAAATGACTACTGTGCCCTAAAAACCCCTAGCGAAGAAACTGAAAGAATGTTAGCTCTGAGCACTTTTTCAGTAATAGAAAAATATATTTAAATGTTTGAAAATAGTTATTTCAAACTTTGGAAAGCCACTAATATTTTTCTGATTAATGGTATCTTGCCAGTGTCTATGGTAGGAAGAAGGCAAACAGTTGCACAAAGCATGTTTGAGTTATTTAATATTGTGGTGCCTTCTGTTTTTTGTAGCTCAATATGAACTCTGCTCCGACATTCATGCATTTTCCTCCGAAAGGTAAACCCAAGAGAGCTGACACCTTCGACCTGCAGAGAATAGGATTTGCAGCAGAGCAGCTAGCTAAATGGATAGCTGACAGAACGGATGTTCATGTAAGTCATTTGACAACGTTAAGACAGACCCAAACTTATCTGTCTATTCTATGAGGAACTGATACCAAGAACTGTTTTTCCCCTCATGTATGTTTATTTATCAAACGAAATCCACAAAAATAGGTTAAAATACAAATATGAGCTGTGATACTTGAGCGCACTGTGGTAACTTCAGCAATTTGAATGTTGCATTGCAGTCTTGGTTTGGTAGTTACATTTTTATCCAGTCTTATTCTAGCACAAAATGAGTGATAATACTGTGACAATTAGTTGATAAATGTAAGTGTATTTGCAATGTTACTTAAAAAACAAAGTCTGAAGTTTCAAAAGTGTTTTATGCCAAAATATTGGCACAGACATAATAATCTGCAAATAAGTTGAGGAAACTTACTTAATTATTTTTATATAGTTGAATATTATATACAATTGTTCCTTAAAGGTGAAATCAAAAACTTTCTAAAATAATAAAGAAACATACTGCTTAAGTTCCCAATTCAGTCATATGCAAAGGGACTATTCTCAGATTTTAAAATCTATTCAGAAACAAAATCTTATCTTGTGCTAGCAATATTACTTATCATCTATACTTGTGTCCCTGTCATGCAGGAAGACAGACAAGATGCAGTGGATGTGGTTTAATTAGACCACAGCTTTATTCACTTAAATCTGGGAATACCTGTCAATAACTCATGCAGTGCAGGTGATCTTTTTTCCCCTTAATCACTTCCACCTATTTCGGAAGGCTGCCATCAGTGCTTCCCCTTCCCAGCTTGGATCCAGGCAGTTACTGAGACCCGAGTGCCCTCCACTCATCTGAGGGCTAAGTGGGGGCTGGAAAAAGGAAAGGGGATGAGTTCTCCCAAATCTGTCATATATTGAGTCCCAGTTGTGTGACAGTGTTAGCAATATTGCCTATCATCAATACATACTCTCTGTACAAGTACATAGAGAATACTGTGCATTCAGTAGTAGATGGGTTACTACTGTGTGTGTGTGTGTGTGTGTGTGTGTAATGCATCACTTCTGTTTGTCACAAAGTAGAAGAATAATTGATGCTTTCGTTTTCTCCCCCCCCTCCGCAGATTAGGGTATTCAGGCCTCCGAACTATTCAGGCACTATTGCACTGGCTCTTTTAGTGTCACTTGTTGGTGGCTTGCTGTACTTGCGAAGAAATAACTTGGAGTTCATCTACAACAAGACTGGCTGGGCAATGGCGGCTCTGGTATGCCAACATTTAATACTGATATTTTTTAACATTTCAGTACTATTGTACTAGTTTTAAATTTTTTTATGCAATGACAAGGTGTAAATGCCACTTGCATAGTAATTGAGAAAGTATGATAGTAATATGTTTGTCAGAATGAGACAATATTAAATATAGACTGATAATATGAATAGCTGGGCTAAGTCTGATGGGTGGCAAACATTGCTAATTGGGAGGTATATATTTACAAATTCATTAGCTAATAATAATTAGCTCCAGTGTTGTTGGTGAAATATGCTACTGATCACCTGACAACGATGGTGACAATGATTGTGAAATGTTAAGGGAGGTTAGATAGGCTACAAAACCAGAAAACTCAATGATAATGGGTGATTTCAGTGATCCTCATATTAACTGAATATATGTCACCTTAGGGTGTGGTACAGAGAAATTTCTAGACACCATAAACGACTGCTTCTTGGAGCTTCTAGTCTTGGAACCCCCAAGGGGAGAGAGGCAATTCATGATTTAGTTGTAAATGGAGCACAGGAACTGGTACATGATGTAACTATAGCTGAACTGTCTGGTAATAGTGACCATAATCAAATTAAATTTAGTGTCTTTGGAGGGAGTAAAACACACACCAAAACCCTGCCCAGCACAGTAACATTTAACTTCAAAAAAAGGGAAATGACACAAAAATGAGGACAATAGTTACATGGGTATTAAAAGGAGCAGTCACAAGAGTAAAATGCCTGCAGGCAGTATGGAGACCACTTGAAAAAACATAACAGAGACCCAGACTAAATTACAGAAACAAGTAGGGGTACCAAAATAATGTCACAATAGTTAAACAGCAGAGAAATAGAGACTGCTAGAGGTAAAAAGGAGTCCCTTAAAATTTGGAAGTCAAATCCTAATGCCGAAAATAGGAAGGAGCAAAAACTTTGGCAGGTTAAGTATAATAAGGTAGGCCAAGAAAGAATATGAGAAGCAACTTATTAAAGAAACAAAACCTAACAAAAAATATCTAAAGTACATCAGAAGCAGGAAGCCTGTTAAGCAGGAAGTGGGGCCACTAACGACAAAGGAGGTCCCAAGGAAGGCAAGTCATTACAGACCAGCTAAATGAATTACTTGCATTGGTCTTCACTGCAGAGGGTGTGGGGGAGACACCCACATTAGAGCATTTCTTTTTGGGCAACAAATCTAAAGTACTGTCCTAAATTGATGCGTCAATAGAAGAGGTTTTAGAACAAATGGATAGATTAAACTTTAATAAGTCACAGTGTCCAGATGGTATTCACCCAAGAGTTCTGGAGGAACTCCAATTTGAAATTGCAGAGCTACTAACTGTAGTATGTAACCCATCTCTGAAATCAGCCTGTGTACGTCATGCTCTGTTTTGTATGCTTCCCTTAAGCTCTGGTATGGGCAAGATACTGGGCAAGATGAACCATGGTTTGACCCAGTATGGCAGCTCTTATGTTCTTAACTTGGGTTAGTAGACTTATATTTTAAGCGAAAATATTGCAAAGGTTTCAAGTGGCCATTATTGCCATTGTATTGCAGCAACTTTTAAAAAAAAAATGTCAAGGCCGTGGTGGTAAGCTTTAGTAGTTAATATGGAGATGGAATGAGTAACTTTATAATAAGGCTAAGGGGAATAAAAAGGTTTTTATAAATATATAAATGAGAAAATGATCCAAAGAAAGAAGATCTCTTAATAAATGAAGAAAGGGCTAAAATTATGTTTACAAATAGCTGAATAACTCCTTACTTTAACAAATCTGTTTTCAGCATAAGAAAGAGTAGAAAATTAGATGCTTAGATAAAATTAGCTTTTGAGAGAAAACTGAAACAGAACCAGTGAGCTGATTTAGATTACCGTATTCTAAGACATCAAGGAAATTAACAAACAATTTTGTTTTACCTCTCACGCTTTATTATGGTTCATTGATTTATAATTTGATAGTGCCCAAAAGGCTATAGGAGGCTTGGCAGAAAAGAGTCTCTGCCACAAATAGTTTATAATCTCAATTTTAGTTATGACCCAGCAAGTGAGGATGGAAAACAATAAGTAGAGCATGTTGGTAACGGCTCTCCCAAAAGTCTAACTTCTTTCCTTCCCAAACAAAGGCACAAATATTGGCAGGGGAAAAATTTAAGAGGCAGACACCTATTGCTTAATTTTCAGAGTCACTAAGCATCAGCAGCTTCCATTGAATCAGTCAAAAATGGGAGCTGAAGTTGCCTAGCATCTCTGGAACATTAGGTCACTAGAGGACCTTTGTAGTATTCATTTATATAGAGATGATGTAGCAAGGTCTTAAAGCAAATTCTCAGTGCAAATTCCTCGATCCCAGAAGTATGAATATACAGAGGCCTCATCCTTGAATTATGGTTGCTGATAAGTAACTTCAAGTTCCCTTTCCAGACAGGTCTGTTTTACTGAAACAGGGGACAGAAAACCATAAATATGTACATACATACATTCTTAAAAAGGAAAAAGTGATTATAGCCCTCCCCACATATTTTAGCAAGGAATAGGGTGTAGTAACTGAAGGGGTCTCGTTTTCAACTCGGGACAACCCTTTGTGCTTCATTGTAAAGAGAGATAATGGTTGAAATGGGAACAGAATCTAGGGGTAAAATTCTGGTTCCATTGAAGTTAATGGCAAAACTCCAGCTTACTTCTGTGGGGCCAGAATTTCATCTGAGGCATCCTAAGCTCCAGTCCCCAATTCTAACTCCTTTTCTACCAAAGAAAATTGGGCTTACTGTATTTTGTACTAATTTCATGTGTGCTATTTCTATATTGCCACCATTTTTATTAAAATAATTATTTTAGGTATGCTAATGAGGGAGCCTAAATTTCTGAGGCACTGCAGCCGAATTGCAATCGCAGTTAATTAAATTCCTCAACAAGGAGTACTTAAATTATTGGCCTACTGTAACAGCACAACAAAAATAGGTCTTTAAGAAAGTAGATTCTAATTCACACCGTGGCAGAAAGTTTTACAAGACAGCAATATGCAATAAGTATTTTTCGGTTTAGAACTTGAACCATAAGCATGTGCAATCTTTTTAATGGACTAAATGCTTCTGTGACACTGTCAGACAAAGCACCAGCTCATGCCGAATCTCTCATGTCTCAACTGAACATGGACGAATACATAGCTGGAATCATTCTGGCTCACATGTATGTTAGTATTGTTAAAGCAGGTATTAAAATTATAAGAATGTGTTTAGTGTTTAAACTTTATGGGATGTTTGTGAGTTGCCGCATGCATTAATCTCACTTATAAAATATGTGATCCACGTTGTAAGGTAATATTTAAGCATCTGTATTGTAAGCCTCTGCGACTGTAAATCACCAGATCAGAGAAAGATATTAACTAGTGTAAAGAGTTGGTCTCCAACAGAAGGTTTTATGTCCTGGCCAATGAGGAAGGCCTATCAACCCAGACAGACTACTGTGAAACATTAAAGAGAATAAAAGACTTTGTTGTTTGGCTCTTTTCCCCCCATGAAGAGAAGTCATACAAGTGAATTCCTCCCATCGGCAGAGTTCACAGTTGAGAGCACATGGGGGTGGGGATGAGGGGTGGGAAGGGAATAAAAACCCCTAATAAGAAGGAACTGGATCTCTATGCTGCTTGAAATCTGGGGGAATGGGGCCTGGGAGGGGGGCAAGGTTTTTAGGCATAAGCAAGGGATCCTCAGTTGCTAAGCTGGTTTAGCCCTAAAGGACATATAGTGTTTGCTTATTATAGAAGCTACAATTAGTTTTTGAAACTTAAGATCGTAACTCATTTGTGTATATATGTTTACCTGCTTTAACCCTGTGACTATCTCTCTTGACTCCTTTTCCTACTTGATTGGCTACAAGCATTATCTTTGGTCTGAGATCTAAGGTGCAATTGACCTGGGGTAAGCGACTAGTCTCTTAGGACTGGAAGTAACCTCAATATTGCTGTGATTTGTGGTGTAAGGAACCATCTATTACGAAGTCACAGAAGTAGGCTTACCTGGGTGGCAAGACAGATAGGAGTACCCAAGAGGGCTGTATAGTGCCTGAGGAGTTTACACTTGGTATTTGGTTGGTGAAATATAAGTATAAAACTAACAACCAATTTGGGGTTTTTGCCCTGCTTCTTAATAGTCTTCCCTGAGGTTGATACACATGCTCTTGAGCCATTGCAGGACAGCTTGGCAGCTTCCATGTTAAATTTACTGTGTCAGACAGTCTCTTTCTGGAGTCAGTGATATATTTAATTCTAATTTCCTATGCCAGTGTTCTGTACACACACACCACCAGCTTGAATTTTTGTTTTGTTTTACTCCATAAATGTGCAGTTATTGTGTCATTATGGTTGAAAGTCTGTAGTTGAAACAGAGAGTTAGTCCAGTACCATGGAAAGCTAGTATTTCAAAACATAAATAAAATCCATTTTTTAACCTGGGTGCTCTTAGAGAATGGGCAAGATTAAGGAAGTTTAAAAGTCTAAAGAAAAAAATGTTTCTTGAAATGGCTACATGGTAATCCTACTAGTGATTATCCACACTTAAATTCTGATCCTGATTTAGTAGTCTTCACTCACATGATTATAAATTATATCATAGACAGGTTCCTAGTTGTGCTTAACCCTAAGGGCTTTTGTCATTTCAGTCCCATGAGACAGGATCAAATCCAAATGTGAAATGGTAAACATTGCAATAATATCTTCCTGAGTCTGTAGAAAGACAGGTTTCAGAGTAGCAGCCGTGTTAGTCTGTATTCACAAAAAGAAAAGGAGTACTTGTGGCACCTTAGAGACTAACAAATTTATTTGAGCATAAGCTTTCGTGAGCTACAGCTCCGATGAAGTGAGCTGTAGCTCACGAAAGCTTATGCTCAAATAAATTTGTTAGTCTCTAAGGTGCCACAAGTACTCCTTTTCTTTTTGTAGAAAGACAGTTACCATGATTCTCCTTCCATTGATAGCTTTGCTAAGTAGTAAAAAGTGAATTGAACA